AACTCCCCGATCAACCTTTCCTCTCATATTGAAGCCACTGGTAGTCTTCGGAGCCAATGCCCATCTTTTTCTGCATCCCCACAGCCCCTGCCTAAGTTCCTATCTTCCCATTTTAGGGACCAGGTTCTGGTCTCTTTTGTTCACCTGCTTCTCTACTAGTTCCCTTGCCCAGGACAGCTTAGGTCACTGAACAGGAGAAGTCTCCTCCTTGTCTGATTAATGTTTTGGTCTTCCAGTTCTCAGTCCAGCTGCTGAGGTTGTCCGGGAAGCCTTCCCTGACTGCCCCTGGGCCGGGGGGCAGGACTCACAGTCCCTCATCTGCCACTTGCGCCTCTTTCTTTACCCTTCCGCCCCTCAGCCAGGGTCTGGCCTGTGCTGAATAGTCATCCAAATGCTGGCTGACGGGTGGGATGGACTTGTTCTCATCTCAGTCTTTGCCGATTCCAGTTTCTTCCCTTGGTTTTCAGCTCCCTTTTTTTGTTTTGTTTTTACCCATCTGTATCCATAACTTCTTTCGAAACATGGCTTTAAAAGCATCTTTTTTAGTCACAGCCTCTACTTTCACTCATAACATTTACTCTTTATTCCTCTTGTCATTATGAGAATGTACGTAATAAGTTTAACATTATGACGAACCCAAAAAGCGTTATAACAGGATACCCGCTTTCCTTAAAACCTAGAGAAATTGCGCACCTACTGTCACGGTAATGTCGTCGTCAGTCTTTCCGGAACTGCTCTTTGGGGATAATTACAATTTACATTCTTCTGAATATATGTGAGTAGTGATAAATCTAATCATTGCAGGTGATTTAAAAAATTCCTATACCACTAAGAACTGCATTGAGTGAGTGAAGAGAGTGGTCACGCTGATAACTCTTTGCGTCAGCCAATAAAAAGTAATGTTATCTTTCTCTGAACATATTTGCACAAGGGAAATTCCAAAACCATTTGACTATGTTATTTTTGAAAAGAGTTTCTAGCATCCCAAGGTGACTACTTTTAATAACAGCACTTGCTTATCTATTATAAAGTGCTTATTAAAATCCGGTTGGGAATTTTACAGGCCTGCGATGATACCAACTTGTACTTGCTCTGTGTGGTTTTACATTCTAGTCCATCTCTGACGTTGACAGACACTAGGGATGAATAGGCCGTGGTCCTTGTCTGCAAGGACCTCCTAATCTAGTTGAAAAGATGGAAATACAAACAGTCCTGTGTGAAAAGTAGATACAGTGTAAGATAAAGCAGCAGCACAGTGGAGAGACTGTCTGTGAGGGGGAGGAATTTGTTACAGTGTCGGCAAAGGCTTCCCAGGACTGAAGGATGAATAGTTACAAGTTCAAGAGGAGAAGGGAAGGGGACTGTAAGAGTCCTTCCAAGTCAAGGGAACAGAAGGTACAGAGACTGAAACAAGAAGATATGTTTGGGGGCATCTCAAGTCATTCAATACTGTTATTGTGTAAAGTTCACAATGGGGCAGAGAGGACAAGAGAGGGGTTAGGGACCCAGTGAAGAAAAAGCCTTGTATTTATCATTTTTAGAAGTATGGACTTGATCCTGTAGGAGCCGGGGAAAGGCTCTGTGAATAGATTTCCCCTCCCCACAGGATCATAAACCTCCATATCCAGCTAGTCACATAGAGTTGTCCCCCTCCCAAATCTTTTTTTTTTTCCTTTTCAAGATTGTCTCATATCCATCCCTTCCTTTTCATGAGACATCTACCTCATTAATTCAGGCCTTCATCACCCCATGCATGCCTGGACTGTTTCACAAACCCGACGGGCGGGCCCTTGGTGAACAAAAGTTCACTTTTTTGTTCCTGACAATTTTGCACAGTATTATCAGGGCAACCTTCCCACTGGGGATCAAACCCCACAACCTTTTTGGTGTAAGGAGGATGCTCTAACCAACTGAGGCACCCCTCCCCCCCTTTCAGCTGGCCATTCAAGGTCCTGCATGATCTGGTCCCAAACCCCTTTCCCTCCTTGATTCCTGTCACTGCTAATATAGCACCAGAAGTCACCTGCCGCTTCCCTGGTCCCTACACGTACTTTTACGGTGGCTCTCCCTGGGATGCTAAGCTCAGACAAACTTCTGTTGCTGTTTATTTCAGCTCTTCTCTTACACATCACAGCCCACTTGTACCCAAGCCTGGTCACATCCCCCACTCTCCTGCCCTGGAAGTAACCGATATTCTGGTTCTGTTCTTTGACTATATACTGGGCGTATGCATCCATATGTAATATATTGTACTGTTGTGAGAACTTTAAACAGATACATATGGCATACTTTATGCCTCCTTCTGCAACTAGCTTTTTCACTATCGTTTTGTTTTTAAGATGCATCCCTCCAGACATACGTGAACGCAGTCTCTCAAGTGGTGCACGGCATTGCATTTTATAAACGTACCCATTCGTTCGTCTAGGGGCGGGCGTTTGGGTTGTTTCGCGTGTGGGGCTATTGTAAACAAAGTTGCAGTGAATACCCCAAGCTGGTCTCCTTGCCCTTACCCACCTGGCTGACTTTTTAAGCTCCTGCCCTCACGCCGACTCCTCCATGAGAGCCGGCCCTGAACCCCACAACCCACAGCAGCAAAATCCGGGGTCTCAGGAGTAGCTCGTGCCTCGCGCGTCCGCGGGGCCCGTCCATTGTGCGCGCCCGCGAGGGAAGGAGGGAATGAATGAGCCGTGAATGGAGCAGCGCGGCCGGCGCGGCGCGAGGCTCTGTTCCTTTTCAATGGGCTTTGGCGCCCTGCCCCCCATTTCCTTGACAGCCCGGGTCCTCCGCCGCGCTCCCCCAGGGAGCCCGGGAGTGTGTGGGTGTGTGGATGTGGGGGCGATACCTAGCTCCCTGGGCGAGGGCTGGCTGTCCCCGCAAGTTCAAGATCGCGGCGAGCCTCGTGTCTGAAGTTC